CCCTACTTTTTTAATTTCCAGTCCAGAACACCTCCAAAATCTGACCTTATTAGAATGTACATGTTTCCATGTATTTATACTTCTTTGTAAATAAGGATTATAGATGAAGCACAGAGCACTGTCATCTGTGTTAGGGACCTTTTCCAAGTCTGAACCACAATGTATATTCTGGCATGACTGCTCATCACAGCAAATACTTGTATCATTCCATTGTGCTGTTCTCATTTCTACATTCATACTGAATTAAGACTAAGCATCACTGCACAATGCTTTCTTCATCATATCCATTAATCCTACTGCTTTGTGTAGTGGGGTTTTGAGATGCTGTTTGGGGTGTTTGCTGAATGCTGCAATGAAGATGTGTTTTACTGCACTCCAAATGTTGTATTTTGTGTTTTGGACATTTTGTTTTCAATTATTTCTTTATTTGAAAGGTGGACATAGAAAATCAAGCAGTAGTTTTATTCTTGACTTTTCCATTTTCCTAAAGCTTGGAGGGAGGGTGGGTAAGGAAATTTCCTGAATTTTATCATTTCCTTGATAAAAATGTCAGAAAAAAGGTTTTGAAGAAAAGTGTTTCCTTCTGTATATTTCCATCCAAAATAGAATTTAAGTGGCTTATGTTTTGTCTTTTAATTTCTAAATTTACTTTCAGATATTCCTGAGTTGCTTTTAGTTTTGTTTTGTTTTAAGTTTTCTTATTTTCTTACACTGTCTTAATTTAAATTGACTTAGAGAACTGTATTGTGTTTTTAGATGTAGAGGTGCAGAAAATGAAGAAGGCGGTAGAATCTCTGATGGCCGCAAATGAAGAGAAGGTATCAAAGTCGTTATTTTTTCAGATTGAGTTCAATGTTTAAGAAAATCTAAGAGAAATCTCTTAAGAAAATCTTCACATATGAACTTGTTACAATCTGATTAAAAAATCAGATTTCTAAGAATCAGTGATTCACTCTAGTCAGAAGCACAACAGTGCCTTTATAATAGGACATTTATGACCTGTGTTGCATGTGCAGAGTCCTTACGGTGTTGTGTGGTTCAATTCAGTGTGACAGCAATTTACACTGTGTTCTGAAAATGTAAAGAGCTCCATACATGTCCCTTGAGCTATCACAGGCTGCATTTCCAAAAGAGCTTTCTGTAAAGCATAAGTTATTTTCATGTATCATTTTGCACATTCATATGCGTGTGCTTCTTGTAGAATGTTTTCTTTTGATCACCAAAGCCCTAAATCCTTTGATTACTGCTTTCTTTGTACATGGCAGATTCATTATATTCCACCTTTGACTTAATAAGGGAACTGAAATCCACTTTCAAGGCTGGGACAATTCTGGTGATTAACCAGATTAAGTTTTTAGTAAATATAAGTTTTAGTATTTCATAGCCTCGCAGAGTTCTGGGTCCTGTCCCATCCACACTCCCTATTTCATTTAATCTCACAACCAATTGAACTGAAGAATTTCTGTTATTTATAGTTCTTACTTTTGATCTGCTGAAGGAAGAAGCACAGTCACATATTTCCTTTACTTTAGGATTGGAAGATAGAAGAGCTTCGGCAATCTCTGAATAGGTACAAGAAGGTTCAAGACATGGTGATACTGGCTCAAGGTAAAAAAGGTATTGTACAATCAAAAAAACCCCAAACTCTACTCTCATTTAAACTGCAGGTGCATTGTGGTAATGTTATATAGACTCTTACACTTACTATCTTTGGAGACATCTCTTAGGTAGAGAAAAGCCAGTTCTTCAACTGGTGTGAAGTGGTAAATTGCATTTTTTGTCCAGCAGCTGCACATTTGGGTGCTACTATCTAGTGGTAGTAGCTATTACTGTGACGTTGCTTATTTTCCCCTTGTAAAATTAGTTTGAATACGATAAATTCTCAGGCTCTTTCCATAGCCTTCTGAAATGCCTTTCAGGGCTGGCCTCTACATTAACTGGTAAAAATTGCTGTTCCCCTCTCTCGCATGTATTCCTGGGGAGGGGTTGGTAGTTGAGCAGAGCAGTGCCTGAGCATGCATGTTCCTACAGGCCAAGCCAGCACCACCCCAGTGGCTGCTCACACTGGAATAGCAGTGCCCAAGAGCTGCAAAAATGTCTGTAGCAAAGTGGATGTGCTGCCAGGACTGTGTTGCGATGACACACCACATCTTTGGCATGTAATGAAGCCTTCACACACCACCACATGCGGCAGCTGTGGAACAGTTCTCCTCCCTTTTGCAGTGGGGGTGAAGCTGGCTTTTCCTACCTTTTCCTACACACACAAAAAAAACCTTCTCTGACACCAGATAACGAGCTTAACTGTGGGGCTGAAATGGTAGCTGTAATATGGCATGTGTAATGGTCCACTCCATATGTTCCAAGACTGGTGGAGGCTTCCAGATCCAGGAGTTTTTGATCCTCAATGGTGATAAACATTGAGGCGGTCATCAGCTTCATGCAAGGCTGCAAAAGCACGTTATTACTGAGGGAAGAGGAAGGGCGGTGATGAGGGAAAAACACCCTGCTGAGCATTGGAGAATTTGAATAGGAATTGCTCTTTCATACAGTGCTATGCCTTCGAAGACAGGAGATTGATAAAACAGACTTCAGAACCTTTTATTGTCAGTGTCAGTACTCTGGTATCGATGATAAGTGTGGAAATCCAAGCCTTTTGGTAGTACTGAGGCAGTTCAGGAGCAGAGAATTCTCTCTCATCGTGAGCAGAGAGTGCCAGATGCTAGGGCAGGCTACAGCATTAACTGAGACACTCTGTGGCAGTCTGCAAACAATATAGTCACTTAAAATCTGGTGTTGGACTCTTGTGCAATAGGCTGCATTTTTTGTATGGGTAACTTGAGGACACCATAGAGACATCTTAAGTTTCAGTCAGCTCTTGACCCCTGGTCTTTCACTAGTCAATAAGGGAAAAGAAGTATTTAGTATGACATTCCAGAACACAGGACAGGAAATAACTGCTCCAGTTCATTCAGCATGTTGAAACAGATCCCACTAAATGCCCTGAGGGCATTTGCTAGGATTTTTGCTGTCAGATGTATGTCCTCCCTCTGCTCTAACCCTGCTGTGCTGTGGTGGTTGAATTGGGAAGCAACATTTGTCAGTGACTTCTGTTTACCTATTGTAGTCTGTCCTAAGAAAAAATAAAGAATCCTAGCCTCTTCCCTTTTGGCCTGCGCGTGAGCACACTGGCTGCACTGTGCGTGGGAGTGAGGATCATCGTGTATCCAGAAGTAAAACCCTCTTCTCTTCCTTCAGGCAAGGAAAGTGACGGTGAAGACTTCTTGAATTCAGGGTCTGTTTCCACGGCTTTATTGGACACACCAAGTCTGACTGATCCAGAGAAAAGCCCATCTCCAACCCCAGTTACAGCATCTCCCATCCATGATGAATTTAATGTGAATATTCATGAAGAGGTATCTTTTTTCTTACTCATTTAATGCTACTGCTTCTTAAAAACATTGCTTGTGCTGGATTCCTTTTGCAGATGCCAAAACTCAAGTTCCTGAAAAGGTATTTTCTGGAACAGTTTTCAGTAATGTCCCACATCCTTTTGAAGAATTTAGTTTTCTTGTGAAAGCTGCTCAGGAGTTTCATTTAAGTTCGGTTAAATTTATTTTTCTTAATCATCACATGGGATTAGGAGACAGCAAATAGGTGTATTTGTCATGAGAATGAGCCCAAACTACTTTTCCTATCAAACACAGGCATTAGTTTTCATACTGAATGTTTTAGGAGCTGCATTTAATTTATCAGGAACTCAAAGTAAACTTGTTGGGACTTAGTTAATATATCCTGTTATATTTAAAAGCATGCAGTTACCATTACATCTATTCAGTTAAATGATAAGTAGGTTGTGGTCCAATCTCTAATTATTACAGTCGCATTTTCCAGTAATAGAACTATAGATCTCTTAAAGCTCTGAGTCAGAGCAGGAACTTGACTTAATTAAACAGCATAAACACACTATGGAGAAAACTGAATTACGTGTTTAGTAGCTTTTTGGTATTCTCTGTGCAGTTGAGGACAGGCGTAAACCTGCAAAGAGAGCTACCCTTCATGGGGTCTGTGGTAGAGAGAAATTTAGGAGGCAGCTTTGCAAGAATTGTGGGTCTTTTGCCTGTGCTTTCACATATCTGTGTAGTCATTCATGTTTTATCTTCAGTGCCATCTTCCAAGTAATAAATCATTGTATTACAATAAAAAGAAATAAAATAATAGCTTTAAAAAAATCTTATTTCAGATCCTTTTCTTCATAGTTTTTTACTACTCTAATTTATCACTGCTTAATTTCAGATCAGACCAGTTTAACATGTATTCTTCATTCTTTCTAGAATTCCTTACAAATCCACACCAGTATTTTACAGATTTCAATCCCTTCTTTTTCATCAACATCCAAGAGCTCAGAAACTGTTGCAGAGAAACTGAAAACACAGTCTAGACCAGATCCTGCAAGTGAAATGAGGTATTATTGTTTCTATGTATTTTTCAATTGCAAATCCAATATTGGGGAGCATTTATTGAGAGTAAAATTCTGTCAGTTACTGTACTGCCAAGTCATTATGTCGATTAAGCAAGGCTAGCATTCACTGGACTAGCTATAGCTAACTAAGCTTATGTTTGTGAAGTGCATCGATTAAATCCCTTTCACTAAGCAAGTATTAGTTTGGTTGCTGTTGCTTGTAGCAGCACTCCAACTCTATACCAGCTGCTTTGCAAGAAGCGAACAGAAGGAGAGAAAAACTGATCTCATGTAACGAAGGACACAGAATCATTATTTTTATCTAGGTTTACATCATCTAGGTCTGGCTGAGATAGTGTTGGCTGTGCTAGCACAAGTTCATTCCTGATGATTTGCATTCAGGCATTTTCCACAGTTGCTAAAGATTGATGTAAGGCACTGGCAAAACTGCAACAAAAGGACTGTCCATCTCTAACATTGAGCTGTTACTGGAGCCCCAGAAGGAAACCCAGGCAGCACTTCAAAAGATCAGAGAAAGAGATATTCTTGCTGCTGTCCTTCGGCACGATGAAATGCGAAGATATTTCTTCACTCACTCTTACGAGAGCCCTGCCTGAGATTTTGAAAGCAGGATGAAATGTGTAGCCACACATTGCCAGGGAAGCCAGGGTGGGGATGCGTGGCTGTGTCTGACCTGTGGCTCCCTTGGGCCCTTCTGCTTGAAACCAGTGGCCACCTCATGGGTGAGAAGTGGCCTTCAGCTGTCTCCAGTGTTTCTAAGCCTGCACTCTCCTTGCCCAGGTTAGGAAACCCAGTTCCTGTAGATGTGTACTGGCACTGCAGGGAGTACCAAAAAGTCCACTGGGCTCACAGCTAGACAAAGGTTGTGCTAGGGCTTTTTCTTCTGAGTCCAAGCCCTAGCTTTGTCTAATTGAGTGTCAAATACTAAGAATCCAGAGGCAAGAAAATCTTGCTGGCTTAAAACCATCATCAATCTCGATGTGCAAAATAAGTGCAAGCACAAGTTAACGTGTGATTTTTCCAGCTCCAGTCAAGGAAAGCATCCTAGGCAGAATATGAACTTTACTTGGTTTCTGCTGTGCTGTGCCTTATGCAGCTCTAGCCATCACCAGCAGGGATTTCATCTGTGTTCTGTCTTGGAAAAAGCAAACAAAGCACTAACCAGCAGCAAAATTCCCCACACTGTGGGTGAATAAGAGGGAGCCGGTGACCTGGACTACTTGGTGCTGCTGCAGACTCTGCATGTGCTGTAACCTCAGCATTTATTTAAGCTGAATAGTGCAGCATTGTCATCAGCTTACAGTGTGAGTTGTCTTTTCTGGGACTTTTCAGCTCACCTTTATCCTTTATCTTTTACAAGACTTGCCACAGTACAGGGGAAGACTTGCCGTGTGTTAGTATCATAACAGCTGAAGTGAAAACAGGATTAAAGCAGGCTGAGATGATACGTTTTCTGTACCAGCAAGATATTTGGATGGAATCCCCAAATGCCTTGCTTTTTTAATACCTTTTTTGTTTTTACAGTGAAGGAAGATCAGTAGGCTCTTCCCCAGAAACTCAGCTGTGTGATAGTCCAGTGTAAGTATCATAATCAAAAATTTTTAGGGAACAAATTTATATGAACCTCCCATATCCCCACCCATTTTACATACACATGTAAATACAACTAATTCTAGCCAAGGTGATATTTAGTGGTGGTAGCTTTCTGCTCATGTCATGTCCTGAGTTTTCATGAATATTATTTTCCAAGGCTTCATTTGTACACGTGTGCAGTTAATTACTTTCACATTGTGAAGCATCTCTAATTTGGTTGTATGATGTCAATATACTTGGAAATTTACATTTTCTGTAGTACATGTGCATGCGATTTGCTTTTTTTCTTTTGATAATGGGGACAGGAGATCAGCTGACTACAATGAGAAAAGAATTTTAATTTCTGCTACATAACCATGTTCTCTAGGGAAATTGGTGGGAATATTTGTGAACTCGAAGTTGAGTCAAAGTGGTTTGTTAGTAAGGTGCCTAAGTCAACAGGTTTAGTCTGGTACACAGTGTGAGGCTCAGCAGCTGTTTTTATTTTGAGTGACTTAGTGCCACAGCAGTATTCTCAGAGCCAAATTCTACTTTCGCTATGCTGGTATAAAGATAAGTAACTTTGTAAAATTCCGTGGAGTTACTCTTAATTTATACCTGGTTATGGGAAAAACTTCAACAGTGATTTTCTTTTCAAACAGACTTAAACACTGTAGACTGTGAATCTGCTGAACACAGGACAAAATCCCACCAGGAGATGGGGGATATCTGGTCCAAAATGGAAAATGGAACCAAAGATAAAATACTAAAACATACATGCTTGACTTAATATGCTTGGCTTCTTTAAGGATTAAATTAGTCAGAAGCCTCTTGCTAAAAATACTGTTTTCCATAGCTTTTTGTTTATATTAGTTGCTTTGCCTGTGCAACGTTTGCTTGTGCTTCTGAAAATACAATATTAAATAAGATACCAGAAGTATCCAAAGGTAGGCATCATGTCACTGAAGCATTAGCAGCGGTAATTGCAGTGTGGAGGTTCTTACGGTATCTCATAAAATTGCATGGGCTCTGATTAGTGCATTGATTGCCTTAATTCAATTTTGGTTTTAGTATATCTCATCGTATATTATAATGCTTTCTTTAAAGCTGATTCCTGAGAGTGTGTTTATGTTGGCAAATTCAGTTCCAGTAACTTGTGTTTTATGTTGTTGTTTCAGAACTTCTCTGCTGCAGAAGTCCAGCAGTCTGAGCAGTTTGAGAAAAGAGATTTCTGAAGCGGTTGGTTGGTCTCTTACTCTCCTCCCATCCCCTTAGAAATAAGGGTGACGCCTCTTGTGACAGTGACCATGTGGACACTCTGTTGCCACCTTCTGAGAAATTCTGAGTCATAGTAGGGCTTCTCATATCACATGTTAGCAATGATCTCATACATGTGACATTGTCCCGATTTTGTTAAAGGAGAAAATTTGTCCTTGAAAACACAGGTGCTTTTTCGATTTTTACATGAGACATTTACACAAGACTCTCTTGTGTTTTTCCTCAGATAATGAGGTTGGGGTTTCTTTAGTTGATAGGCTTTTCTGATTTAATACAAGAATAAAGTGTGTCCCACTACCACTTCCTACCTATGTTTAAGCCAGAAAATTTTGGAAGGCTGTGTAAATTAATGCATATACAGTCTGGGGTGACTTAGGTGATGGGGAACAAAATACTGAGCCTTTGTATGTCTGGTGATAGCTTCAGTTTAGGTCTCTTTTGAAGTGATCAAAATCAGCTAGCCTCTAACAATGTTATCACATCAGGGCAATTCCTGTGCTCTTTTTTGACAGCCTAAACTCTTAAAAGCTCCTGAGTTCCCTGATGCCCAAGTTGTTGAGCTGTGCCTTGCAGCTCTCAGGAGGGATGTTGACAGATCTGGAAATGTAACCAGAACTTGATGATGACAGCTAGAGTTCATGGGTTAGGGTTTGGGGTTTTTTTTGTCGTTTGGACAGCCAAGGAGTGGAGGCTGTGGATGTTTTATCTACTTCTGCCCTGCCTGATTCCAGCTGTTCCCACTAGCGCCTTAACAGACTGCATGTCACTGATAAAGTACACAGCTAATCCTTTACAAAGTAAAGCGAAGCAACCGTATTTTCATGTCAGCTCACTGACCTCAAAGAAAGCAAGAATTAATCTGTGTGAAATACAGCTCTGAAGAGATTTATTTTGGGAGGGGAAAAATGGGCAAGGAAAGGTATTACGGTCAGAGTTTAACTCAGAGTAATGAATTGAATACTGGTTATAAATCATGACTTTTTAAATGTTTTTGTTAATCTTTCCCAAACAGGACAGAGACTCTGCACAGAAGCGAACAGAGGTAACGTGTGTGAGCACTCATGCATGTACATGGAGAAACACACAGTCAGCAAGTGTTGAAAAGCTCAGTTGTGTGAAATTGTGGCATGCAGTTCCAGAGGGGGAATAGCAGACCTGCAGACAAGATAGCAAGTAGTATATGATGGTTGTCACCATGCCTTAAGTGTCAGGCATATAGTGTCTCACACATTCTTGTCTTCTCACACATGGATTATCTTTCAGTCTGGTTGAGCATAAGGTTGCCATCTAAGCTAACGTTTCCCCCACATATTCTACCACTAGATAATAAGCAAAGCTAACTATTAAGTATTTTACTGAGCCTGTAATTACCTTTGATTAGTGTTTCTTTAAAAACCTTTCGCTTTACAAATTGTTTTCTGTGACTAGCAACTGTGTTCCTAAAAAGACTGTCATTGCAGAACAGTTACCCTGCAGTTACCATATGGCCATGGTTTTCATGCAACAATTATTACCTATGAGAAGACCCAAGCAGAAATTAACATACCTCATCAGATACCTCTTGTAGGGTCAATGCTGTATTGATTGAGCAAGAGCCGAAGGATGATATTTGGATTGTGAATGGGTTTGTTCCCTCTTTCTAAAGAGACAGTGAAGTGTGTCTGATGTCGGTCCTGGTATTTATACTGTCTGCTTGGACATAGTCAATCAATCCATTAATTCTGAAATTGCAGAGCAGTGATAGACAAAAAGAGTTGACTACCACTTGGCAGAGAACCGATATACTGTGGGGATCTCATCTCTTTCTTTTGTTTCCCACTGCCCCTACAGCTACCACTGCCTCGTACACTACCAGTGAGGGAGACAGAAATCCTAGAAAACTGAAAAAGTTAAGCCTTCCAGGACTGTATTTTGACCTCGTCCATACCTGTACGCTAGCCTTGCAGAAACTGAGAAACATCTTAAAGAAGACATGTTACTCATAGAAAGTTGTGATAGTAATCTTGGGTCCTGAACATATTCAAATGAAGATCGTGTTTATGTTTTCCTTTGTGGCTTTTACATTCTGTTTTCTTGTAGTAACAAATGAGAGGGACACTCCAGATTGCCTGTCAGCAGTCACTTTGCAGTCTTTCTCAAAAGACCTTTAGCAATTTCCTGATACTGAATCATTTTTTCCCTAAATTGAGCAGGTTAAACCTCCTGTGGAAAGTAGTAATTTTGCAACCCTCCCTCCAAAGTCTCCTTCTCATGGTGGCACAGGCGATGAGGATAGTTTTGGTACCCGTAAAGCTAGATCTTCATTTGGACGAGGCTTTTTCAAGATAAAAAATAACAAGAGGACTGCAAGTGCCCCCAATCTGGGTAGGTATCATGCACCTGCTTGCAAATTCTGTGTATTTTGTAAGAAGCCTTAGACTCTCTGTGAGTGGGTGACACTTTTCTCAGTAGAATGTTTGGAAAATATCAAACAGCAACAAAAAAATCCCTCACTGATGTAACGAAGTATTTGATCTGTTTCAGCCTCGCTGTGATATCTCTCCTGGGACCTTGTAGTGGATTGATGCTGTTTTGAAATGCTAGCTGTCTGACAGTAGTTCACACATGGGATTTGTGGGCTTTTTCTTCTACTGGCTCCATACTCAGTTTATCTTTCATAAGATTTTCAGATGTACAGAAATGAGGCAGCAGCCTCAGTCTTCCTCTTTATGTGTATTTAAGCAGCCTTGCAAAAGCAAGGGCAACAACAGGGACAGGACTGACAAGTTATTCAAGCTCACCTGTAATGGAGGGGAGGTTGTTTTCATGTTGTCATTTGATGATATTTGCAAATAATAAAGAATAAACAAAATGTTCTGCTTAATGCAGAAGTCATTGTTGCCACCAGCCGAAATCCTATATGCATCCACTCCACTGCTATAGTAGTCTTTCCACTGTTCCAGTTCAAGCATTAAGTGGGTCTGTGCATCAGTTCTGCTGCCATTCATCTGAAGTTTTTGGCTTTCTCTTGCACAAGATACAGGAATTTATCTCTATCTTTCAGAAACCCGAAGTGGTATAGCATCTGCTTTGTTGAGCAGAAGAGTATCTTGTTCTTACTTACTCAAAGACAATTTTAGACTTTTGTTGGAAAGAAATAACATACCTACACATTTATTATGTTACCCATATTTGCCTGTGACATATAGCATGGGAACTTGCTAGCTTACTTGCAATAGATGTACAAGTCTATTCTGAGGATTAGGTTCTTTGCTTTGGTTTATTTCATGTGTGCTTTTGTGTAATTGTTTGTTTCATCCTGAAATTGTCTAACAAAGTGGAGTACTTGTGACTGTCAGACTGTCATAAAGGATTGGAAAATGTGCCATCTAGATCAGGGTCCTGTAAATCTGAATAAGTTACGTATGTTATCCACATTTCAGTGCTTCCATCTGTAAAGCTGGTGTCCAGATACTTGCCACCTCATGGGAGCCCATGTGAGTCACCTGCCCAGTGTGTCATGGAGCAGGTGACCTGCCTGCACCAAAGTCGCTGCAGTGCTCTTTTACTCTCTCCACCATAGAGCTCCGCTGCATTTTTTTTTTTTGTGAGAGAGGGATTAACAGTGAATTGGTAATCCTAATCTCTGTGTGAATTCAGCATTGTGTGTGGCGCATGTCTTTCAAGTACCCCCCTCCTTTTGTCTTGTATTTTGCTGATGTAAGTTTTGAACTGTGTTTTACCTTGTCCCTCTGCGTGTTCTCTCCCGTTGTGCTGCGTGTGGTTATGTGCGTTGTTTTGGATATCTGAAGATCGCAGTCGAAGTGCAAGTGCACCTACTTTAGGTATAGTAGTCCTGCATGTCTGCCTGTACCAGCGCTGTGTTGTGACTGCTGCTAATAGCTGGTTATGGCCACACACTTTTCAAACAAGAACTAGACACCAGAACTCTGCATTGAAATTTTTGTCCATTGCTAAAAGGAGTTTTCATGTAACACCTGCTCTCTGCTAAAAGTCAGCTGTGCCGTTTCGCAGTAACTGCTACTAATGAGAGAGATTGCGGGTTAATTTGCAGAGACCTTTGCTGTAACTTTGAGCACAAAGTTACCCACAGACAAAGTAGTAGGTGAGAATCAGTTATGTTTAAATATCGTGAGCACCTTTGTACTCTCATCTGTGTGTCCTGGAGCCCCTGGAAGAGCATAAAGGGTGGTGAAGCAGGGAATGAGGTATATTTCCCAGGTGTTCACTATGGGAGTGCTGGAGAGAAGGATATGTAATTCCTTTTCTAAGATGTAGTTATTTATTATATAATAAACAAATGAAAAATAATTAGGGCAAATGGGGATGGAGCCATTCACGTAGGAAAAACCACTCTAGTGACGTGAGCATTCCCTTGCAAGGGCAGGTAAGACCTGCAGGGTCCTGTCTTAGCAAGCAGAGCTGTGTCAGTTGGAGTGGTTATACAGCCACCCAGTGTGCCCCTCACTGATGAAGAGACCAAGTGCTCTGGGCCTTCTTGGTTTCCCATCTGGCCCATTAGATGCTGGGTGTTCTATGGGGTTGTGTCAGTGCATGAAAGGGAGTCAGGAACAAGGAGCAAATGTTGCAATACCCGCAAATCTCTGCTACTAATGTGCCCAACCTTGTCCTAGTAGTCTTTCTCTAGAAAGCTGTTCAATTGTACTTTTTCTGACCTAGCACCTTTTCTTCTACAAGTAAAGCAAAAGCCACAAATGCAAAAGCCTGGTTCGACATTAGTGCTGTCTCTTACTGGCAGGGTCCCCGTGTTCGACAGTAGTCAAACCAGAGTGCCCATAAATAATCTTCTATGCAGCCTTGTTGCCTCACTGCAAGGTTTAACATCTAAAGCATTGGTAGAAAATGGGACATGTTCAAATGTATTCTGGCTGAATCGTTTAAACTTTGACCAGGTGGCAAAGCCTTAAGTTTATTGCTGTTTGTGGCACCTTGTCACCGCCTCAGTGTTAATTCTGTGCCTTGAGACCCCATGTCCCAGCAATATATGCTCTACCTTGATTCATGTAACTTGTTTTTTTTTCTTCTGGAAGTCTAAGAGTCCATTTCAAAACCAAATGATGGTCATCCAATTAAGCAGCCATGTTAAAACATGGTAAAAGTGGTTACAGGTCTGACTGTCAGCCTGCTGCAGGCTGCCTTGCCACAGCTGCTTCATCTGAACAGGCTCATGCTGTCACTGTTTCCCAGCAAGTAAATGGCATAAACTCCACATGGTAGTTTAATTCAGCTATCTGGCACTTGCTGGCACATCTCTGCTTACGTAGCCTAGTAGATACTGCAATTCTTTTGAATGATCTTAAAATAATTTTCTTCTTTGTTAGTTTAGCTTTTGTGACAACTTCCTTTTTGGGGACAGGAGCCCTCAGGTTTGGTGTCATAGAAAACAACAGCTACAGATCAAAGATTTAATGCTTTTAGAGTGGGTGGTAATGTGTAGGGTCTCTAATCAGAGAGGCTTTGTGCATCACTCGAAGATCAAGTTCAAACAGAGCCTAAATTATATGGTGTTTCTCTGCAGAGGAACAAAATATTCCACAATTTGCAGAAGTGAGAGGAAGATGGCACTCCTGCTCCTGGGGTAGGAGTTGGTTGTTGCTGGAATATCCTGGATGGGGCACTTATGGAATACTGCAGGTTATTAGGAAAGATGCCTGCAGGGAAATTATTTATTTTTCTGTGCTTTGGGGACTCCTGGTTAGGTTCCCTGCTATGGCACTGAATTATTTCTGAACATGTGCCTTGGCTCTGTCAGTGAAAGGACTGTAGCGGCACTCCCCAAGAAAGAGTAAACTTGGGACTTAATTCACTAATTGATTCACAAGGTGTTTTTTGCCCACCTTGGATGCAAGGCACTTAACTGGTGCAGAACCTTGCCTTGGAGTGTTCTCATTCAGGCCCATGAAGGAGGAACACATGTTGATTCTCCTGGATTTTCCCATCCCTCCCTGCCCCATTTCCTTGACATGGTGGCTCTCAATAATTTTAGCAAGAGCTGTTCCTGAGTTCAGTAGTGTGTCTGTACAGTCCTGTGCAAGTGGGTCTTGATGGGGCTTTTGTTTTCTGACAGCTGAAACAGAGAAGGGATCTGCAGATAACTTGGATCTGGCTGGTTTGCCCCCTCGCGCAAAGGAAGCAGATAGTCTACAGATGACACCACCTTCTCCGGATTCCAAGAAAAAGGCCAGGGGGATCAAGAGGTTATTTGGAAAGTAAGTAAAAGACAAGAAATTACTGTTCTCCAGCGCTGGGGCTTGCACAGGGGTTTGCTGGGTATACATCTTCCCTTTTTCCCCCCTCCAGTGCGTGGCTGCATGGTTTACTGTCTCAAGTGCAGGAGCCAGTGTGGCATTTGATGGCAGGTAGAAGAGCTACAAACCATGTAGGAGATCTTGCCTGTATTGGTTGCAGTAGTAGCAGCATGCCTTTTCCTTAGCCAAATGTGAATATGCTTTCTTCCTTTAAACTAGACTTAAAAGAAGCCAGTCCACCACCTTCAACCCAGATGACATGTCTGAGACGGAGTTCAAAAGAGGAGGGACGAGAGCAACTGCAGGGCCACGACTGGGCTGGTCTCGAGACCTGGGGCAGTCTCACAAGTAAGACGAGTGTTGCAAAGTGTGCTGGTGCTTGCCTTCCCAGCAGCTCTGGTTGAGCGTGGGACCTAAAGGAGAAGTGCAGTGATGAAATGAAATGAAATGTCCCCTCTCCTGACAGACAAAACCAGGCAGATCTAGGCTGTGTCCTCCTTTCAAAGATGGTCTTTGCAGGTTTGAGGTTGGTTGCTGGGTGGTGGGGTCCTGCTGCTGAGTGGAGCCTTTCTTGCTTAAGAGTAGTACAGTTGTGAGGCCATGTGAAGCAGGGCATGAGCCTTCACATGGCAATGACAGATATTCCTCTGGTATACTTTCTGCTGCATTTTCGGTGATTAAAGGCTAACATGGAAAATTATGGTCTCAATTCAGAGTTCCAGCCACACAAGGCAGAGAGGTGGTTGTTTTCAGTAGTATTTGTGGACTGTGTTTATTGTGATAGTGACAGGAGATCAGCAGTGATCTTCATGGTGCTAACAGTTCAGAATCATAGAATAGAATCACAGAATGGTTCAGGTTGAAAGGGACCTTAAAGATCATCTAGTTCCAACCCCCCATCACAGGTAGGGATACCTTCCACTAGACCAGGTTGCTCAAAGCCCCATCCAACCTGGCCTTGAAGTAGAGACACCCTCTTCCTTGTGAGACTCACATAACAGCTGACCACAATGCATGTTCTTCCCCAGAGATTGTCCCAATTCCCACAAAATACTCATATATTAGGCTTGGGTTTTGAGTTTATCATTATGTATGAGAATAGGAGATTTGAGGCACAGGATTAATCAGTCTTTTTTTGGTAAAATCTTCTGTAGTGAGCTGGACATGCCATTCGCAAAGTGGACAAAGGAGCAGGTATGCAACTGGCTCCAAGACCAAGGGCTAGGCTCTTACATAAGTAATGGCAGACACTGGATACTGTCCGGGCAAACACTTCTGCAGGCTTCTCAACAGGATCTGGAAAAGGTGAGAAATGCTGGAAACACTGCTTTCAGTTAAACATACACTACTACCATTGCTACTTCTGTGCATGTAAATCATGTCTGTAAGGTGCACCCAGGAAAAATAAAACAAGATGAGGTTTTAAAATATTGTCATCTGCAGTGATGCCAAATACCTTTCTTTTTAGTTGAAGTTTCATAGAAACTTAATGCTCTGTAATTAGACTAATAATTAAATGTGATTTAACTTCATTAAGCATGAACATATCAGCTGGCTACACCACCTTCTGAAAATATGCATGAGAGTGCCTCATTATCATATGAGTTTGTAGCCTTGATTTATTAGCACTCATGTATGGTGTAGTTATTTTATGCCTATGTGAGAAGGGTGTAAAAAGCTGATGATTTGGTCTGGTTGTATTTTCTGCCCATTTTACACAAAGAGGAATAAGGATTTGTTACACACAGGGTGGTCAGTCTTTTTGTCTTATATCATTACAAAATTGTCTTTTTCCTAAAATTAGAAACAGCATAAAAATTTGATTCAATTTGTACTTTGAATCCACGGTATACACTAATGTTTGAATTTTCAACTTTTACAAAAATCACCAAATAGCCTTTTTTCTTGATCAGGCAGTGAGATAATTCAAAGTTGTAGTTACAATACAACTGGAATAAGGAAAGTGTGATATGAGCATAGTGACTTGTAATAGTGTTATCAGAGGTAGCATTGACTAGCAAGCACTGGTGGAAGTGTATATGGGATTGAACAGGTCCTGGAATGGCTGCACTTGCAGCTAAACAGGGGAAGGTGTTACGCATTTGGAAGCGTTAGTTCTAGTAATTCCTGGGATCTTCATATGCTCTTAACTAAATAAATCTCTTAACCTTACCTGCCTAAGTCGGGGGGAAGGAAGTAGTCCCATCAAGCATTTTTCTGAATGCTAACATGGTCTATATTGTGGGATTTGATTCTATGATTCTATGATTTTTTAACCTGGTATGAGAATATTATGGCAAATATTTTTGTGCAGTTTGGAATCCACCATGTTTTGAAATCAATCCAGCACAGTGAGCGGGCCTTTCCCTAGTGCTGAGCATGTGCTAAAATGATGCTGATACTCAGCAAATAGAAAATACACCTGCCAAGTCATCAGTAAGTGCTGTGTGACTCTGAAACCATTTGTAATTAAGCAGAGAGAGAAATAAAATACAGTATTGTCTCTAGGTTTGCTTTCCTTTCCTTTCCTTTCCATTCACAGGAGCTTGGGATAAAGCACCCATTGCATCGGAAGAAGCTTCAGCTTGCTCTGCAGGCACTTGGATCTGAAGAGGAAAACAATCATGGAAAATTGGATTACCACTGGGTTACCAGTAAGATTTTATTACATGTTGAAACTGCAACTTAGGGGTTCCTAATCGTAGCTAACTTGGGGCCCAAAGAATGAGAACTTGTCTACCACACTAATGTGAGTGTCTGCCTCTGCCTTAGGGTGGCTGGATGACATTGGCCTCCCCCAGTATAAGACCCAGTTTGATGAAGGAAAGGTGGATGGCCGAATGCTCCATTACATGAGCGTGGTGAGTAAATTGCTTTTCCTTTTCTGACATCTTTTTCATGTTCTTAGTTTCACTCTACATTTATGCACATGGATGTACCTCCAGATAGCTCACTGAAGACCAGGTGAGACTGGAGAGACTCTGCCTTCACTGTGCCTATTGTTGCAACTTGCAGAGATACTAAATACACATAGCACTCTCCAACTTCTCCATCCCACCCTTCATGTTCCTCCTGGACTGGACACTGGAACAGATTGCCCAAGGAAGGTGTAGATGCCACTTCCCTGGAAATGTTCAAGGCCAAGTTGGATGGGGCTTTGAGCAACCTAGTCTTGCGGAACCTGTGTCAGGGGGGTTGGAACTAGATGATCTTTAAGGTCTCTTCCAACCCTAACCATTCTGTGGTTCTATGATATGATGCTGTGAATGGTTCATAAATCGGGTCTTCAAACTTCCTGGATGATCGTAGGGAGAATGCTGAGGGAGGTCAGAGTGTCAGAGACACTACTACTGCTACAAGGATAAGCCAGAATGCCATTTGTCTATGTGCTTCACTGCAGTGTTTAAAGGACCCCTTGAAACTGTAGTGGGTGTCCTGTGTTAAGCTAATGCTAATAGCTGTAACCTGTAGAAAACAGAAGGCCTGATACTACTACTCACCTGCATGTATTTCCTATGTTATTTCCAGTTTTAAACATACTCTCTTAAGGTGGAAAAGCAAACAGAATCATAGAATAGTAGGGTTGGAAAGGACCTTAACATCATTTAGTTCCAAACCCCCTACCATGGGCAGGGACACCACACACTAAACCATGTCAGTCACCCAAGGCTCTGTCCAACCTGGCCTTGAACACTGTCAGGGTTGGAGCATTCACGCCTTCTGTGGGCAACCCATTCCAGTGCCTCACCACCCTCACTGTAAAGAACTTCTTCCTTATATCTAACCTAAACTTCCCCTGTTTAAGTTTGAACCCATTACCCCTTGTCCTACCACTATGGTCCCTAATGAAGAGTCCCTCCCTAGCATCCTTATAGGCCCCCTTCAGATACTGGGAGGCTGCTATAAGCCTACTCTTCTCCAGGCTGAACAGCCCAGAGGAGTAACATAGTAAGCAAGAGCCTGGACTCACTCATGAGAAATGGGCAATCTTGTGCTGAACAGTTGCATGTGACACTGATGTGTTCAGGCAGTGTTTGTAAGTACACAGAAGTGCAAATTCTCTGGTCACAATTCACGCAGCTGGGCCTCTGCTGTTCAGGTTGTTATTAATTAATAGAAGCAGGTGGAATTTTTTTCTTCAGTGAGCAAACATTCAGTCTACTTACCTATTCATGTGGGTGCTTAAGTGAAAAAAACCCAAGGCATTTCCTTTGAAGAAGATTCTAGTTTTAAGAGACAACTTGTTTGAAAACAAACTACATTTAATAGCTTTTGCATAATGTATTTCAAAACCCTTAGCACCAGCGTCAGTGTTCCAGTTTATTGCCAAACCAGGTGAAGCCAACCCAGCAGGTTTCTTTTATGTAAGGTCTCAGATAAGATGAGATAAGACCTTTGTTCTCTGGAGACACAAATGCAAACTGAGCATTGCTAGTATTAATTCTTTCTGTATGACAAAAAAGAAATCAATCACGCTCTTGTTCTTTCATAAGACATGCCATGGGCAGACTAAAAGTTACCTTTTTATGCCATATTTGCATGTATTTTGTGTAGGCTTTACAATAGCATTGGGAGAAAGCATAAGGTTGATCCACCTCATTCTCCTCCGATAAGACAAGCACAATGCTGCTGAGGAACTGCAGCCACTGCCCAGGACTGACCTGCCTCACCTACCTGGTGTGACTATGCTGTTGAGTCCATTTTGGTCAAATGTTAAATACTCACTGCTTATGTAGTGGGGTTTGGTGTTTGTTTCCTTTATTATTTTGAGTTTGTACATTAATATAGGAGTCGTAGAGCCTTGTTTTTGTCTTAGGACCACTGTATTACCTGAATGAGGATTGAATGTGGGTTCAGATGCAGCATAGGCTGTAATGGAAGGGAACTTTTGGTATTCAACAATCAGTCTTTCTTGTGTTAAAAAACAAAGAAAAGTAATACGTGGACAGAGAAGGTGTGTGGCAGGAGCTTTGCCTTTTAGATAGATATTCTTCCTGTCTTTTCCCATTAATTGTAGATCACTAGGGATATTTTTAAACAGAGTTTAACCATCAAATTAGCACAACAGATTCTGTGTAAACACCAACTAGATACAGCTATATGCCAAGGATAAAAGAAATACCTTTTAAAATCTCTTGAGGTTACTGTGACTCAAAATAAACAATGGCAAATATTTATCATCTTATCATAGATAAAATAACAAACCATGACACAGGTACTCTACTTTTAGATTCATTTTGTGGTTAGCTGGACAGAGTGAACTGTTTGGGTAAGTGAAGAATCTAGTCTTAAATATTCTGACCAAATAGAGTCCAATGTTCATAACACGTAAGTCACACTAAAACAGACTAAGCCAGGTTAGCCCTGTCACAAGGGTTATAAATTTGTCAAAGTCAGCCAGCTTACACCAGCAGAGAATTGGACTTTTGAGACACTTAATGGGACAGTTAGGACTGAATTACAGCCAGAGCCTACTTCAGCAG